GATAGCCATGCTGGTAGTGGTGACATAGTGATGATGATAAGACTGTTGTTGGTGTGAATGATGATGATGATGATGATAGTCATGATACTAGTGGTGACATAGTGATGATGAAGTGATGTTCATAACAATGTTGTATGATACTTTTATTTCTCAGAATCTTAGAACTATTGTTCATACATATAAATCAAGGATCAACTAATTCAGTAGTCGCCATGTCAACCATATCCAACTTGGCTTTTGAACCCAAGTAAGTTTCTTGCAGTGACATAATATTGACTTATTGCTTAGATTATTCAATGCCTACTAGTTTTCTTAATATTCATTTCATATATCCACTTATTCATCCACTTGGTTGCTTCTCCCTACTATCTCCTAACACCCTCCCTCCTTACTGTAATATCTTTCCACCCTCCCTCCTTACAATCTCCTACCACCCTCCCTCCCTACTATCTCCTACCACCCTCCCTCTTTCCTATCTCCTATCACCCTCCTCCCTACTATCTCCTACCACCCTGCCTCCCTACTATCTCCTACCACCCTGACTCCTTTCTATCTCCTACCACCCTCCCTCCCTACTATCCCCAACCACCCTGCATCCTTTCTATCTCCTACCACCCTCCCACCCTACTATCTCCTACCACCCTCCCACCCTACTATCTCCTACCACCCTCCCTCCCTACTATCTCCTACCACCCTCCCTCCCTACTATCTCGTATCACCCTCCTCCCTACTATCTCCTACCACCCTCCCTCCTTACTATCCCCTACCACCCTGCCTCCTTTCTCCTACCACCCTCCTTCCTTACTGTTATCTCGTACCACCCATCACCTTCCACCCTCCCTCTCTCTTCACTTCTTCCTACTTCCTTCACCTCAATAAGCAGATTAAATAATATGGTAATGACGGGACTGTTTATTTTCAAATATCTTGTCAAGGTTTTGTGAGAAATTTAGAGACTATCTTGGAAAAGAATTTCTGAAAATCAGCAAAATGTTTTTGGTAAGAATGAAGTTATCCTGATTATAGTAATGTTCTGAATTAAGTTGACACTAATTAGATGTGGCTGAACCATGTGCAGAATCATCAGTCACTACAAAGTAGATTATTTTTGCTAGACGTCCATCAAGGTGTTTCAATGACATTCTATCGGCATGATGTACCCTCAAAAGCTTTAAGTTTTCGAACAATGTCATGGAAACACTTTGATTAACATCCCCAAAACCCTATTTTGTTTTGATGGCAAATTGTATGATTTTGTGCGTGACTGATTGGGAAGCACTCGGTGATATCTATGACAATTATATATTAAATTATAATGCTTACCTGATGCACTGATAATATATATTAATATTATTATTCTATAGGGAAGGCTGTGTAAAGTATGCACTAAGGGGCTGAATGACATCTCAATCACATGGTCTCTTACATCATCTGGACTGTCGGCAATGGCTAACATGGCAAGGGACACAATAACAAGAGAACTTATTGCCAAAGATAAAGATTGGCTGGCTGCTTGCCATAGGTTTATGGTAAGTAGATATGCATTATGTATTGTACTTCTGGTTTAAGGTATATTTTGTTGTACTGTGCACCTTTATTATCCAAAAATGATATAGCCACAATGGCATGAAGTTCAAAGGAATGCTGTTCATTACTTCATAGGGGCAGGAAGAATTTAAGGAGTTACGTTTAAAAAAACTTTTATAACAACTCACTCCTCATAAGGGGGCTCGTCCATGAGGCTTGCTCTGCACACACGCTACAACTACATTCAAATGCTGATTCTCATAGAGGGAGATAGCCAGAGAATAAGGAAAAGCTCAAGGAAAGAGAACAACATATCAAACAAACTCAAATCACATGTATTCAGTTGATAATTGAACCTGCATGGGACTGCATAGGTATAAACTACAACAGTGTGAGACAGTGCCGTAGCAATGCAGGAATTGTGTTGGTGTATCCATTCCATTTATTTATTTATATAAATTGTTAGTATATATTGTAAATATTATATTAATCTGTTTTATGTATATTAGTTGTAAAGCGGTCTTGAACTATACGGAAACATCGCTATATAGAATAAAGATTGTTATTATTATTATTATTGTTGTTGTTGTTGTTATTATTATTATTAGGTCCTTCAATCCAGGGTCCTGATAAGGTCCTTTCCATCTTAACATTAAGAAAGGCAAATTGATTCCTAGCTACACGTAGAGGTAGTGATAAAGAAAAATAAAATAAATTTTCAAAATAATTTATAGAACTCTTTATGCCTTTTTATAGTGTCGCTTTGGACAAGCAAACGTTGTTATGAATGATTCAGATGCAAACAAGGTGGTTTTTGCTCTACTGGGTCTGTTAACCAATCTTTGTTCTCAAGCTGATCTACTAGAAGAGGTAAATAACATTCTTTTATTGGAAAACATTGGAAAATTTATACTAATGTGGGCCAGAGTCATGGGCAGATCTAGGGGTGTGCCTGAGGGGCTGCAAACCCCCTCTTCCTCTATTGCCAAAGTTTTTCAGCCCTTCTTTCTCCGATTCCTGGATCTTCCACTGACAGTAAACAGGCTTCCTTTCTTTAGCAAAATGAAGCTCTCTGCACCATTTGCATTGTTATGAACGGTAGATGAATGGTCGACGGATAGTCAAAAAACCATCAACGAATGACCAATAAATGGTTGACAATCAGTCAACAGCTGACCAACAGTGGGTCAACAGATGGTTTGGGGCGCTAATCATTACTATTGCTAAAAAGTTCAATGTCTTATAGGGTGCAATGATTGAGCCTTGTTTGCTCAATCTGCACCTTGCAGCACAATGTTGTTCAATAAGTTGCTTAATCTTGTTGTGAATATGGCTGCATCTTGAGGGATACGTGTAGGGCTGCATCTTGAGGGATATCAGCTGGAATGATTTGTAAAAATGTTTATATCAAATGTTATTGTTTTTTTCTGGTTAGGTGAAGTGTCATTCCTTGCTTCCATCATTGAAAGATCTTTTGGATTCTAAAGATGAAGACATCAAAGAGGTTAGTTATCTCAATAGTGTTGATGATATGGTGATGCAATGATGATGATGATGGTGGTGCATGATGCCAGGTGATGACATTAATGAATATACACGATACATAATGATGGCAATAACGATTACATGTATGCCTGATGGTGATGACAATGATTATGCAAAAAAGAGATAATAATAACAATGATGATGGTGATGATGATGATGATAGCGATGCTGATGAATGATTAGGATGATGTTAAGTGGTAAGGATACATTTAGCACTTGTTTCTGGATGTTTTTTTCCTAGTTTTTACTTCGTTTATATTTACCTTCCTGCTAATGAAATTAATATAATTATATGAGTTGTAATCATTTGTTTCTTTTTTCAATTTCAGCGTTGCATTTCTGTTTTACGCTTTTTGTTGGCATATTCCAAAGAATCCCTAAACATTGCATTGAAAGAAAAAATATATGTGCAGTTCATTGATATGTTGAAGGTAAGAATGATGCATGGATGACAACATGATAACAAAGAATTACATACATGCAACTCACCACAGAGAACCAGGCTGCAGGGCATGTGTATTTAGCATAAAGTAAAAAAGAATTGAATGGTTTATCATGGACCTTTCGTGATAAGCACCTAACAAGATCATGGAAATACATGAATGCAATTGCTGGGTTCCACTAGACATCATTCCTGTCTTGTGTGGAATGTTCATCAGCTGCATCACAAAGTTTTCAATAGAATTCTTTCTGGTTGACAGCACATGGTAGTCAGTGTTTGACCACCATGTGGAGCAGAAAATGAGATCCAAAGACTTTTATCAGCTGATCTTGAAACTCAGAAATACCAGTCTTTGCTGCTGCAATCATTCTGCAACCCAGACATTCATGATTGAGGCCCAAAAAGTAAAGAATCCTTTGATATTGCTCTGCATTTATATGCTTTATACCCTGTAGTATACCACCATGCATAGAGTAGAGCAATACCCTTTATCACAATTCCGTTCAGTGACCACAAATAATAACTCCAAGTTTAGGTTGGAGTTGCTGTGCTTAGGAAAACTAGTAATAGTTTATCATGTGCAGCAACTCCAGCCTCAACTTGGAACTATTATTTGTGGTCACTGAACGGAACTGTAAAATAGAGTATGATGGTTGAAAAGTTTTTCCATGGTCTATAAAAAATAAGAACCCTCCTTATCCCCCACCCACCACCCCTGAAACCTCCGTGTTAACCCAGTTCTTATCTCATTTTACAGTCTTCCAGACCTGTGTCAGTAAAATATGCTCTTAAATGCTTAGCTTTATGCACAAGTAAGGATGCCAACGCTAGACAAGCAGTACTTGAAAATCAAGGTTAGTTTTTTCTGAGACGTACACTCAGTTAATACTTCCTTTTGTTTGCTTTAAAACCAGTGTAGTGTTCATGCATGGAATGAATTTCCTTATTTGAGTGCCACCCCTGATTAAACGCCACCCTAAAATAAGCGGTGCACCTAAGACCAAAATTATTGATAAGCACCGCCCCTGAATTAATGCCGCATATGAAACCAGAAAAGTTGATTAAGCACTCATAGAATGAGTAAATATAGAAATTTGTATTTATCAAATGTTCGTGTTCACTTCGTATTAAATCAATGATTGCAAATTATGTATGTGGTAAACACTTTTTTTTAAATAAGCATCACCCTCGAAAGAGCCCCGCCCCTGAATTAACACCACATATGAAACCCAAAAAATTATTGTGCCACGGCGCATAAACGAGTAAATATGGCATGTGCATTGAATCACTCATCTTAGCAATAACTTATTGATTGTTAACAGGTCTGAGCTCATTGGTTGGTTTGATTTCATCAAATAATGAGATCATCATTGGCAATGCTGCTCTGTGTCTTGGGGATTGTGCACAAATAGGTGAGAAAAACCTTGTTCTTCCTCACACATTCCTTTGTCCTGACCATATATCCACCTCTTTGCTTCTTTGGGTGTTTTTTTTTTCTCTCTCTCTCTCGCCTCAAACTGTGTAATTTTTTTGGAGTAACATTTCTTTGTTTAACGGCTGTGCATGAGAAAACGCATAGATATAAATACAACTATAATAAAGAATTTTATTCTCAGAAGAATGACACTTGGCCTGAAATAAGGCAACACAATTCCCAAGCTAGTCAGAGAGGTGGTTATCAATTAAAGTTCTGAGTTGAAAAAGATTTGGTACAGTACATTAGAGCAAAAGTTTCAATTCTCAATATCAAGTTAAGATGAAAAATAATTAACTAAAATAATACAAAATCAATGCCACGAATTCCATCGAGAAAAAGTGTGATTTATTTTTAATTTGTATTTTCATGCCCGCATGATTTGAGATAATTGAGAAGGGTCCAGGGGCCAACAGTCGGCTATAAGTGTCAATCAACATGTGTCAGCTGTTCATAAAGTACACAAATTACCCTGTATATAAGGGGTTTGCAACATCACACGATGGCAGCCATGAGAGAAGGAACAATAATAGTCTTTTTCCCTTGGGAATTCTTTCTTATGTAAACCAGATCAGACCAGATTCAAGTATTCCTGCTTCCTGTCATGGCTTCCATCATGTGATGGTGCAAAAGCTCTATAAGATAGATAGCTTTAATTTGCTTGTCTGTTATAGATGAAGTGTGCCAGCAGTTAGTGGATACTAATATTGTACAAGACTTATTGAGACATGCAACAAATGACAGATTGAATCAAGACGTTAAAAGAAATGCTGTCCTGTGTCTGGCAAAACTTGCAACTGGAGACTTAAGGTAATGTATGTGAACAGTAATATGATACACTGGAAATGTTGCAGTAATTTACACAAAACATTGGTCTATCAAAAGTTTATCACGAATCCTGCATTCTGATTGGCTGATATACTTTTATAGGTCTATTACGTAGTGATAGCCCACTATTAGTATTTAGTAAAAATACGCAGGGGATTATAGAAAATCTCGTGCGCTGATTGGTCAAGAAACTCACTCTATCACACGATAATCACCTCCAGCGAAAATCCAAAATGGCGGCCAGCCACTTTGTTGCTGTTACTGGGAAAAAATGTCTTTTATCTTCTTTTTTTTCTTTTGAAAGAATCACCTGTGTATTTATACTAAAACAATTATTTGCCTCAGCCTCAGTGAACATCGGGGAATATTTACCTCGCCGCTCAAAGACTCGGTAAATATTCCCCGATATTCACTTCGCCTTTGACGAATAATTGTTAAATAATGTCCATATTATTAAAATAGCCTTAGTTAATCAATATTTGTTGACTCACATGAGTTTAGCATTACATAGGTTGAACTGGGGTGTGTGTGATCGTCTCCTTGCCCCGTGTTATAATATCCCTTGAGTTGAAATTTGAAAAATATTTTTAAAATTTTTTAAAGGCACCGTGAGAAACTAAAAGACCTCCATGGATTAGAAATACTTCATTCTGTATTTACCAAACTAAGCTGAATCTATCAAAAAAAGGTATTTTGATTGATTGATTGATTTATAACCTGGTTATTTTGAAATACTTTAGTCTATAAAAACACTGAGAAGTTTCTTTGAGGATACCCCGCCCAAGATCTGAAATAAAAATACTTCAATACGCTTTATTATACATTTTGTAAGTGGAATTTGTAGGCTACTAGAATTTTGCCTTTGATACAGAAGCAAATTCTACATGTACAAATGTGTGATAAAAAAGTGATAGTGACAGATGATGATGATGATGATTGTCACGTGATATATTTTGCACATGATCGTTATGTGGGTGTCAATATCCTGTGATGTAATATCATGTGATCATCTTGTGTACAGCTTCATCATATCATGTTATCTCATAGCAAGTACATAGCCTCCATATCACGTATTTATCATATCACGTGATTATCGTATATACATAGCATCATATCATGTGATCATCGTATATGTATATAGCCAACATATCACGTGATCATATGTACGTAGTCATATCACATGATCATCGTATGTATATGGTCATAATATCACGTGATCATCGTGTGTACATAGTCATTATATCACGTGATCATCGTATGTGTATAGTCATATCACGTGATCATCGTATGTATATAGTCATCATATCACGTGATCATCGCATGTACATATTCATTATATCACGTGATCATCGTATGTGTATAGTCATATCACGTGATCATCGTATGTACAGTCATCATATCACGTGATCATCGTATGTGTATAGTCATATNATAGTCATATCACGTGATCATCGTATGTACAGTCATCATATCACGTGATCATCGTATGTGTATAGTCATATCACGTGATCATCGTATGTGTATAGTCATATCACGTGATCATCGTGTGTATATAGTCGTATCACGTGATCATTGTATGTATATAGTCATCATATCACGTGATCATTGTATGTATATAGTCATCATATCACGTGATCATCGCATGTACATATTCATCATATCACGTGATCATCGCATGTACATATTCATCATATCACGTGATCATTGTATGTATATAGTCATCATATCGCGTGATCATCGTGTGTATATAGTCATCATATCACGTGATCATTGTATGTATATACTCATCATATCACGTGATCATTGTATGCATATAGTCATATCACGTGATCATCGTGTGTATATAGCCATCATATCACGTGATCATTGTATGTGTATAGTCATATCACGTGATCATTGTATGCATATAGTCATATCACGTGATCATTGTATGTGTATAGTCATATCACGTGATCATTGTATGCATATAGTCATATCACGTGATCATCGTATGTACGTAGTCATATCACGTGATCATCGTATGTACGTAGTCATATCACGTGATCATCGTATGTACATATTCATCATATCACGTGATCATCGTGTGTATATAGCCATGATGTCAGCCACGGACGTTGCATCTGTTAAAATAAAAAAAGTGCTTTAGTTGTTAATAGACGAATGAATGAGGCTCTTTTTTACTGTTGAGTACTCTCACCTTTGTTTGACCACTGTACGCGGCTGTTGGTTGTAGAATATAATACCGAGAAGTGCTGAAGATGGTTTTCCCAGGTGCAGGCTCCTGGGATCAGCTCCACAAGAACCATCCATCCTGAGTCCGTTGGGCACCCAGAATATTCGCTGTTTATGAAAAAGGATCGCCTCGCAAAATTCCAAGTATGACCATTGATGGAGAAGTAGTTGACAGGCTGGGAATGTATGTCTGTCCAGGGACTTGTTAGAAGACGATCACGAGAAAACCAGTTGGTCTTGGTAGATCCTTTGGCGTTGAATACCAAACGAACAACCTCCGTCTTCTTGTACAACGACAATCAAACCTACAACAAATTAAATTCTCAGTAGCTAGGGACTATAAACAAACTTGCCAGCTCTTTGGCCACGTGAAGTCTTCCCCGCCCTTTTTCAACAGTTGCTTACGAACAGTATAAATACTACAGTACCTGTGTTGGATTGAATGCCTGCCAGTGTTCTACGATTCTGTTTTTGTAGTGCTGTCTGGACGAGCTGTTTATGGGTAAAG